ACAGCTCACAAGTCATAAGGGTCGCTATACTCTGACTGTAAGTATGCTCAGTCTATGTCACTGGAGGGTGCTAATTTTCCCTGATTAGCAATGTGGTTCAAAGCAGCACCAGAGTGTTGAGCGATTGCGTGCTGCGTTTGGGAATGACGCATTTTCAAGAATCACTGTGTTTAGTGGTTTGCAGCATTAAAGCGTAGCAGGCGGCCCCTGAATAATGAAGCACGATGTGCTCGACCTGTGGAAGCCAGCACCGCAGACAACATTGCTGCTGTGCAAGCGGTGCTACAGGAGGACCCGCGGGTGACTGTGGTACAACTGGGAAAGCCATCTCATCGTGATCAATCCGAATCATTGTAAATGAGAACATCGGTCTCAGAAAGGTTTGCGCACCCTAGGTACCCCAGCAATTCAGTGAGGACCAGAAAGCGGCTCGGGTGAATTAGGACCGTACCATGCTTGCCAGATTTGATGGCTGACGTTCCAATGCTGTTTTGGAGATTTTCAGTGGCGATGAGATCTGAGTGTACAATTTCGACCCAGAGACCAAGCAACAATCGGCTCAGCGGGCGGCCGTTGGTGGAGCGCAGTGTGGCCAAGACCGGTCATGTAGCTACTGTACCGCTCGTACGGCAACCCACAGTCACCGGAGACTGATATTCTACTCACTGTCTGTCACAATTGCTTGAAGGTGTAGCCAGGCGTCGTCCATAGACTCGAGCACAAGGGACCTTGCTACACCATGACAACGCACCTGCCCACAGGTTCCATGTCGTCGTAGATTTTCTGGCTAGAGAACGCATCCAGGAGGTTGGTCACGCGCCCTACAGTCCAGATGTGGCTGCGTGTGACTATTTTGTGTTCGCAAATGTCTAGCGCATGATGCGTGGAATCCGCTACGAGTCTCCAGAGGCTGCAGTAAATGTCTTTATTGAGCTGCTAGAAGGGTTACTCGCTTTAGCATGGTCTAGCTGCTTCTCCAAATGGTTTGAGCGCATGGAACTGTGCATGTATGCCGGTGGAGATTACTTCAAGTAAATGTACTGCCTATTTCGTTGTAAAAAGTTAAACTTTTTGTGTATCCGAAAACGTATTGCTCTGCTCTCGTATTTATGCTTCCCTTCACACGTTGTTGTGTGAAGTACGACATAGACAATACAACCGAATTCTTATCCCTAACTGTCTTATGCATCCACACCGCTGAATTATCTTGATCGCGTTCCGTATGAGCATCCTTACGTAAGTTGGACTATAGATTGCATCCAAAAACTCACTGGCTACTCCTGCTGTTGGAATGTGTTTCGATTCTGGATCTGGAATTCGCTCATTTGACATACTTTACGAGTTCCAAAGGCCTGGCCTATCTCTCACCATTCTCTGTGTAGTAATCGTAGATCAGGCTTGTATGGCGTTATTCTCAGCTCCAGAGCTGAATCATCATCGTTCGATTGACTTTCCGTCCACAACCGTCCCTGTTGAGCACATTTTGCAATGCCAATTGCTGCGTGTTCCTGATCGCTGCAGTAGCTTCAATCAACTGTGATGTTTACACTACCTGCGATACTCTGTACCACACGTTAACCACGCTTTTGCTTTATGTGGCATGGAAGTGTTTCTTATAGCGAAGATGTGAATCCTCAAGTGGGTCCTCAAATTCCTTCGTGAACTCATTTTGGTGGTACGTACAGGATCAGTCGCGGTCGTATAAACGTTAGTGTGCGTCAGTCTTAGCTGGGTGCAGAACATCAGCAGCTTATAAGCGCCACTCTCTTCACACACAGGGAACATGATATGCCATCTAACCGCACATCTTCAGGGCAGTGATATACCTAAGCAGGACTTCCCAACATAAACCTCAGGTGGTGCGATTAACCCATGACTACCATAGGTATCGGAATGAACGTTGACTCTAATCGCCTCTTCACCCGTAACTGTTTTCTTTGAATTTTGCTTGGGAACGTAGCAAACGATCCACTTAATTGGTCACCGAATCGTTGTTCCAACTAGCCCTCAAGCGTGACTGCGCAGATGCTCTACCGATCGTAATTTAACATTCTCACTGTGGCGCCATCTTATCACAGCGGAGTGGGATAGCCGCTTCTATGTTTGGACCGGAGCAACTGTTTGCCACAGTTTCAGTTATCAGGACACTTGACGCTGAATACCTGTCAGGCTGGTGAACATTTTATAATCCAGAAGTTTATCACCCTGCTAGCTCTAAGCGCAATGCGCTCGGATTAGTACTCAGACTCAAACTGCAACCAGGTTCACTAAGTGACCTGCACAAATGGTGAGCTCGAAAGGCCTGAGAAACGGAGGTGACATTTGTGGGAGAAACTGCGGTAGACACTTTCATCAGATACACTCCATTGATCCCAGAAACTTTTCCAACATTCGGTATTTCTTAGTGCTTTTACTATGAAGGCTGCACGGAACTGAACTGCAGCCAATTTCCTCTAAATCTCGATAAGGGGCAATTGGAGTTTTTTTAATATTACATTCACCTATCATGGGAGTTGCAACGTAAGTGACGGACGTATACTCGCTTAAATTAGTTCATGTATTGTGTGGGTCAGAACCACGTTTATGGGTCTGTTTTGCTTTTAATGTTATAAGTTGACTTCTCGCGGTCTCGAAATTCATATATATGTTGTCGCATGAGCCTTCACTGTTTGCAGCACTGATGATCACCAGTGTATCCGAAACGTTGCGATGCGGAGACGATTACTCTAGGTGGTGCTGATCCATGTGCGCCTCATGCCGAGGTTGCTGTTGCATGCTTCTTGATCGCATTGGGGCTACACCGACTTAAACTAAATCCACTCAATCTGGATATAAAGTGCTCCACCTTATTTGATTTGCTCATTTTCGTTCTTCTGCTGCATATTCCCTGTCAATTTTGTGTGTTTATTTTCCTTCAAATTATGTGTTGCTTGTTGGATATCCCCAGTGTGGCTGCGCTTGATGTGAATGTTGACAAGGTGCCTACCTGTCGAAAAACTGCTTGCTTGATTATGCTGGTTCCAGGAGCCTGTGAATCGCTGCACGGGATACACGGTCCTCGTGTATCCCCTTGCTAGGCTCAAATAGTGGTTCCATCCAATATGGAGTGGACTACGGCTCAAGCGCCGTTTTGTGTACGTCTGGTACGCATGATTCCCCACACAGGTAAACAGGAATGCTGTTGCTGTGCCTGTTGACCAAGTGTGAGCGAGCTCTGTGGATGTACCGTGCCCCTCTCCACATGCTTCCCGGTCTTATTTCTTCTGCGGGTTTCTGGAGCTGTGGGTGGTGCAGCGCAATCCACCCATAGTCCCTCTGTAGGTACAGGCGTCCTGAGGCTGTCTCTGTGGAGGCCACAGTGACAGGCAAATCCGGGACCGGATGCCGCCAACCGTGTGTATGTAACGGCGTCTATTGGATTTGTATGTTTTGCTATATTTTTGATTGTATTCGGTCGGATCCTCATCGTGAGAAGCAATGAAAGAAAATCTTCAAGGAGGGTAACCGATGTCCGCGGAATGCGTAAGACCAGTTGGACAGGCAAGGAGCAGTGACTTTATTTAGTAAAGAATCTTATTCACCATGTCACAGTGTTGTGAAGCAGACATTTTTGGAGAACTCCTGACAGGCGGAAACCAGACACATCTTGAGACACTGCCGCCGAAACATTAGTTGGGACGAGATTTACGCGAACTATTCAGCTGGCACAACGGGTTGTTCTACGATCAGGATGAATAAGTTGCGTAGATTCAAACAAGTGCTACTTATGCTCATTCGCTGCTTACTGCGAAGAGCCTAGGTATTTTTGCCGAACTTCGGATGATGCGAAGCTCAAGTGGAGAATTCGTCGATTTGGCAACTAGGAGTGAATTCACTACTCCCTAGGTTTAATGCTTCTGTTCTGTATCGCGTTTCCGCTTGACCTCCATTCTCTAACATAAGATGTTATGGAGCTTAACCGGTGACAGATGCTAAATTTCCTCAGTCTCGACTACATATTTAACGTGTGCATGGTGCTGACTCGTAAATGATACGCACTTGACTACGTAGAGAGGGCGTTGAAGGCTGCAAGGGGTATTCTTGCCAGGTCGCTTCATTTTTTGCACAATCACCAGATTTTTGTGGACGCACTATGTTCGAAGAATATAGGCCGTCTTATCTTGCACGTTTGTTTATTAGATTCATGCCTCTTGATCATATCCCCATCCAGCTCCCCTCATCCTCCTCTTATGTTCACCACTTTGGACTACTGACCGTATATCGGCAAGGAACGATAAAAACAATTGCTTCACTGCTGGTAATGACTACTTCCGGAGTGGTTTAGTCTTCATTCAATAGTTCACGTTTATATTATAGCGTTTTGTATTGCAATGACACACTGATTACTCATGGACATTTCGCTTCGACTCGTATGTGTCTTTCCATTGAACGTCATACTGTCTTTGCTTCATGTTTATCGAACTTTTTGCTCTCACCACGCCGATGAGTAGTAGCCAGTTGGATACTGGTGTTATTGCATGTCGCTTTCCATATGCTCATGGAGCCTCCCACAACATATAAACGGCTGATTTTGGAATCATCGGTGCTCGGTGCTTTATTAGCGATGATGTTCATGGGGCTTGAGTCCCGCTTTAGTCATCTTGTTAAATATTGTACGAACCATTTGGATGTCCACGGTTGAATGCGGTTGTCAAGGAAAGATGCCTAACATTTAGTTACTCCAGATGCAGTGCGACTAATTCAACGAATCGAATTCCGCTTCAAACTGGATGACCGACCAAAGTGCGTTGCCCGTCTACTTTCATAATATTGCCACTTAGAACCCGTATCGAGAAACTCATCGTTCGCTTCTGAAAATACGTCGATATGACGGAATGCTGTGCTACTCTGCTTTTATCCTTGTCTATTATTTTACTGTGTAACTGTACACCTTTCTTGTTTGAGCGCGAATTTTATTGCTTTATGTCCGAATCTCTCTTCCATCTTTTTTCCACGTTCAGGGTAAAGGTGAACAGACTACCTACTGGTTGCATGGCGAAGGTTCTTTTGTCGTGGACCCTGTACCTGCTGGTGTCTGTCTGGTTGGCGGTCCTTACGAAGGGCTCATGGGCCCCATTCCGGCAGCTACACACACAGATGACTTGTTCTTCAGCAGTGACTCCTCGGGACATCAAAATACTCAATTCCAACGATCAAATTCCGTCCCAACGCCTTTCGATGGGGCTAGTGGTGACGGCAAACGTGTCTTCGGGTTGACTCCCACCACCAGCGCCTTGATGACTATCCCAGAAAGTTCACCCGCAAGCACTCATTCAGTGATGCATACGCTGAATTCGTTACACAGCAACTCAGACGTCCCAACCAATCGGTCAATGCGCCGAATTGGAGTGTGTCACAACCCAGTCGCTGCCGCGGCTGCTGCTGCCGCCGGTGCGCACTTGACAAAAATAGAGACTGCTGGCGTCTAGATGGTCAGATTCTGTGATATGTCGGCAGTAGTTTTTCCAGATTATCTTCACTTGCTGACTGACAACAGTTTGTGCCCATCTCCATTATTTTTACGAAATTTGGCCACAATGTGTCCAGTTGTCACTGTCTTGAAGATCTAGTTTGTTCAATGGAAGGCATTACGCAAAACCCGGAACATTCGCCTCAGTTGGTTACCGTTCCATGTCATTTAGTTGCCCAAGTCGCATGACAATCAAGTGAGAGAACACTTGTTATGATTCACTCAGCCATACTCTTCATCAAGTGCTGTCTTCCCAGTCATGTGCTCCAGTCAGTCTGTGCCGCATCGCTGTCGCCGGTTTTGTTGCACACACACACACACACTCACACACACACACACTGGCCGGCACTGTACCAACTGGTTCAAGATATCCAGCCCGCAACTATCCACATCCTGCCAGCGGTATTTTGTATAGACACTCCCGGCCGTTTGTAGTGCTCACCTGCTTGCAAATGTGTATGTGTGTGTGCGTGTAGTTGTACAACCTCTACACCACCCTCACTCTCTTCCGCAAATCCAACTCAGGTTCATTTGATGTACATATACGCATTTTGGGAATTGCCACATTGCCCCACGAATTCCTTTTTCGCAGCTCTCACCTCATACACCCTTCCTGCTGTCATCTTATTGTGAGCTGATGTACATGGACAAACTTGCATACATTTGGCAACCAGTTTTCTTTAACCTCTCTTCTCTACTACTTTACTTGGGCTGCATATCGATTCGGCCTCAGCATTCCAACCTCCCTTGATTAGATGATGCATGCCTGAACAGACCGATTTGGTAACTTGTTTAATCGTGGCGCGAGGTGAGGGATTCGCTCTGCTTCGTAGTGAACAGTGTGACGCTACAGGCAGAGTTGCAGATGGGGGCCAACGGCTTCTATCATTGCGTCACCACTTCCCTACTGTATGGGGCATCCCAATCTGCAAAGTGAAACGGCTGCTCATATTAGCTGTCTGATTTTCTTGCGCAACACATTTCGACATTCGTCTTATCTCGCAGTTGTTCTCTCGGTGGCACCGGAAGGTCCACACTTGGATGTAACTCACCTTACTAACAAGTGGATAGGTACCCCCAATCAGTATCAGAACAAATATACACTAATCGCATACCCTTTATCTGGTCTGGCTACACAGCACTATCAACCAACTGCGATGAGGCTATTGCTAAAACGTCCATTTGGCAGAGTTAAGAAGCTTCCATGGTGAAACTAGTCAGCCTAAGGGTTACCTTTTTCTTGTCTATTTGAGACCATCGCAATGAGGCTGGACCTTACCGTGGTGCGATGGTTTGTGTGCCTCAGCGATCCATTGAGCTATGCTGGATGGTGCATTTTTGCACCTTCAGAGCCACTCATACCAGATTGGTCAATGGTTAGAGGCCAGACAAACTCAGCCTCTTGGTCCTCCAGGTTGGGGGTTGGAATGAGGCGGCTCGTTATTCCTTAGAACGGACTCCTTGTAGCTCAACGCCAAACCCGCTGCCTCGCGGTAAGGTTTTTGAACCAAAAGATTTGGTTGAGAACCCTAATCGTTCTCCTCCCTATGCCTGCGCAACCTGACAGTATCCTGCTCACGCACTACAAGGACTTTCTCTTGAAACAGTTTCCTGATGCTCCGACCAACGCAGAGGATAATCAACGGTTGGATAGGGGTTTGGATGCTACTGCTCGAACATTCCCATCTTCTTATTCCACCTCTTGCGCTTTTTCTCTCTTACTTTCCTGTTCCGGCTTCACTTTTATCCGCCACCTGTTTCCAACACTCCTATTCTCGGCCCCCCACCTTGCATTGCTAGGTTTTTAACTTCTATGCCATTTTACACGCATGTTAGTGCATTGTACCAAACTTTTAGCGTGACACATTTTCGAAATCGCGTGCAGTACTTTCGAGTTAGTGAGGTTAAGAACGCTGTTTTGGCGTCGTTAACACTCTCATTGGTCACGGGACGTAAGCCAATGGGGCACCGTTTAGAAGCTCACAGCATAAGCGACAGACAGTCCAATGAAAGTGGTCAAGCACCACTTTCTGTTCTCGGTTGATGCCTGTCCGAAGGAAACCTCGATGATTGGTCTCCAAACTGAAACCGTCCCATGCGCAACTTGTGATGCCTGTCTAAGGAGAAGATCCTAGCTACCACATGATCCGAAGCTTAAGATGTAACCAGTGCGGACAGACATACTAACCAGCACATGAAGCGGTCTATAGTGATCGCTAGCGGCTACCTGGTGGTGGTTTATTCAGCGGCCTAACCATGGTGGCGTAGACAGGCAATCTCCTAAATGGTATTCCGCAGATCAGCAATGGTTGCTAGGCGGTTAGACAATTGTGTGCGATTGTCGTTGCAACGATCATAGGGGACATTGTTTCCATTGAAGTTGGTAGACCAACCTGAAGCTGAACAACGAAAATGCTAACTTTGCTTACTTCCATCACAGTTGATGACTCATCAAAAAATAATAGGATTCCAAGTGGGGCGTAGACACGACTTTAGTGAGTGTTCGTTTGTCTCCACACCCATAGGCGACTCTGTTACTCAATTATCGCTTCAGTGTCTCCATGTATGGCGTTACGTAAAGGTCATAGGAGCCTATGAATTCATAGGATAATTAGGCTTCACTTCCATATGGTCGCCCATGGTGGTGTAGAGATGCCATAATCTAACCGGTATTCCGTTGTTCAGCAATGGCTAATGTTAGTTATACAGTTTTGTGCGATTGTTATTGCAACGATCATGCGGGACATTGTTCCCATTGAAGTTGGTAGACCAAGCTGAAGCTGAACAACGAAAATGCTAACTTTGCTTACTTCCATCACAGTTGATGACTCACCAAAAAATAATAGGATCCCAAGTGTGGCGTTGGCACGACTTTAGTGAGTGTTCGTTTGTCTCCACACCCATAGGCGACTCTGTTACTCAGTTATCACTTCAATGTCTTCCAGTACGGCGTTATGTGAAGGTCATAGGAACCTATGTATTCATAGGATAATTAGGCTTCACTTCCATATGATCGCCCATACGTGCTGAGACGCTTTGACAAGTGGCTCACCAAATGGAACCATTAGAAGCACAGACAATGCAGATGGAACCTCCCTATTACGTCCATGGACTGGCATGCTATCTTCATGAAATCGGCATGCCATATCGTCCTGCTAGAAAGAAGACAACACTTATAATTAGTGGCTACGCAGGCATTTTACTCTGGTAATTCAGGCTAGTAGTTAGAACAGACAAACACTGCTGTCTCACCCACGGGCGTTCCTACAATGTGTTTGCAATCAGTTACAAAGGCAACCGTGCTCAGTAATCCTGCTATGGACCACTGTTTCAGCTAGTCTTAGAAGCAGTTATGTGTGCACGCCGTGACACAAGTTGTTAGCGACTTGGCAACTACTCGGAAACATTTTGTCATTGGAAAGTAGGTAATTTCGGAGGCATTGTTGAAGGAGGAAAATTGCTCCAGACTCTGTGCTTACTGTGCGTATGCAATGCTCGTTGGCAGCTCAATTCAGGGCCTTAGGGTCACATGGTATTTCAAGCTTATCAATCAGTTGGAAGTGACGTTGAAACGCAGAATTGACATGCATCTTACGACCTTAACATAACGGCAGGTCCATGGGTCATGTAGCGGTAACTGGTTAGCGAATTGGCCCACAGGTGTGGAGACGAACGAACACTCACTAATATCGTGTCACCGCCACACTAGGAACCCTCCTCTTTGTAACAATGGCTACAGATCCACTGATAGTCTTACGTACACAGCGAACTTGACCTTAGTATACAATGCGCCGACTACATCAGCAATACGTAGCTACACTATTCACATGAGTGTACGGCCAACTGATAAAACAGTACGAGAAATTTGTAGCTGTTAAGCTTTTAAAAGTTCTATTTGCGAAGAAGTCCTAGCTTTACCTCCTTCATACGAATTACTACATTGTTTCTGAGTACCTCACATTGCCTTAACTATCACACGCATATCTTAAGTGAAATCGTACGCCTATCGATTCTCCAGATTGCTCGCAGTGGCACGATTACACGATGCATACCGTATCACGTGTGGCCAGTTAGGCAAGCAAACAAGGAAGGCAAGCGTGCAGTCAACCTGTTAGCCTACAAAGCTTTTCTTCCAACAGCCTGCAAGTTGCAATCTCAACACAATCAACCAACCCGCTTCTTATCACTACTCAATTGGACGTCATCTCGCGCGTATAAGGCTTCAAAGCTCCTCCTCCAACAGCCTGCAAGTGTTGCAGCCTCAACGAAAACTACCAATCTACTTCTTATTACCACTCACTTACATGTCCTCTCGCTCGAGCGCTAGTGAAGCTTTACGCCAGATTGCTTTTCTAAGGCGTGACCTTGCAGCGCTCGAAACTCACCATCGTCGAGCAACAAAATGTGGAAGAGCTTGTGCATCCTTCCGTAGCATCAGCGACTAAAACATTCGGGGTGTTCCGTGGACGCTACAGGTGGCTACTTGGGGACTTCATATTAGTCTAACAGGTTTGAAACGACCCCACTCACGCATGTCGCCACCTAATGCAACTCATCCCGAACACCAACTTCACAGGCAATAGCATGAAACTGAGTCAACAACACACTCGGATTTTCATTAAGGCTGGATGAACCTCAGCCCATGGCGACCTAGTGATTCCGCTAAAAGTAGCCATCAAACGTTTCGGTATCTACGTAGTTAATGTGCTCAATGACTGCTTGGACGTTAAGAATTCTATCCGACCAGGCGCATTATTAGCACCTTTCGTCAGTGGACTAATTTAGTCGTTAATACATGTGTGAAAGAGGACAAGTATATTAACAAATGCATTGGAACGATCATCTATGCTATTGAGGGATATGTTCAAAATGTCAGCCGGTGTACTGCTTGCAGTGCAGAAACGGCTTGATGCAGTTGGCGGACACTTTCTCCAATATATCCCTCATGATCGCCCGACATTCGTTCACAACAAATTCCTTCATTTGGTGTAATGTACGCGGCCTTATTTTGTACACTCGTTACTTCAGATAGCCCCATAGAAAAAATCCACGGGGTTCAAATCTGGTGAGCGAGCAGGCCACTCCACTGGTCCATCACGTCCGATCCAATGACGATCAAAGTTGTCGGTGAGGCAGAATGTGCAGGTGCACCATCCTGCTGCCACCAAATGGTACTGCATGCCGCTTCGGCCTACGGCTGTGGAAGCCCAAATATCTGAAGCATTTTCAAGTACGACGATGCTAAGAGTGGGTAAGGCTTTAGTACTTCGAAACCACAACCTATCGGTCATGTTCCTGGGAAAGAAATATGGGCCCAAGATTGTATGTCTTGTTTATTCATCCCAAACCATCAGTTTCACACTGTGGGGCATACGTGATGCAGTATATTTTCGTGGGTCGCTGGTAGCCCATGAGTAATGTTTCATTGTTCTATGCAGATGAAGCGGTGCCTCATCTGTAAAGATAACAGAACGAATATCCCCGTGATCGATAAACCAGCGGCAAAATTCATGCAGCTTCTCAGGATCGCAGGGGTTCAAAACCTGCATTTGAAGTGCACGGATTCTTCGAAATTTTCGTCCCTGTAATATCCACTGCACCGCATATCGGGTCGTGTCAAAGTGCTGTGTGATCCGACGGATGCTAAGATCGGGACTTTTTCCCTTTTCGCACGAACCCCAT